GAGAGAGAGAGAGAGAGAGAGAGAGAGAGAGAGAGAGAGAAACAATAAATCTGAAGAGAAGGAGAGAAAAGATGGGACCACATGGATGGGCAACATATGAATAGGGTTTGTTTTTAATTCTTTTTATTTTTACCGCTAATAAACCGGGCCTCTCCCCCTCCTCCCCTGACATGTTGTGGAGAGTCCCCCCAAACAAGTTTTGTGCTTGGTTTTGTTTCTCCCTAGGTTGGTCTAGGGCTTTTCAACCGGCCTTTGGGTCGGATTTGTTTCTCGTTCCTCGTCTAATTGTAGAGATCTTGCTTGGCTCGCCAGGGGATCTAAATCTATTAGAGGTTATGGGTTGATTTATGGAGGAGAGGCAAGGTATCTTGGGGATTTTTTTAGAATTTGGGTGTTGAGAATCTAGTGTAGAAGATGCTTGCTTGAGTGTCAAGAGGAACCAGGGTGGTTATGTCCTTTTTCTTAGGTATCTTGCTTGATTGTTTATGTGGGAATTTGACACTTTGGAAAAAATTCAACTCCACCCGAAATGCCAAATATTAAATTATTATATTATAATTTTAAAAGCAAATGGAGCCCCTATTGTTAATGTATGAATTTTGATTAATTCTTTTGGCTTCCCTTGACAATTTTGTAATAGGATTTTTATTGTATTTATCAAGCTCAAAGTCTAGATTAAGAATAGCATCTCTAGGTGTTCTCATCTATCTTCTATCCTATGGAGGTTCAAGCAAATTGACAAAGGTAAATCATGCATTGCATATCATGCATTAAACTGTTTTCATAAATGATGACTAGTCATCCTTGCTCTGTATGATTTCCAGCTGGTTAACCATCTATTTTGTCCTATTCTCTTTTCTCTCTCTGCTGCCATGTGTCAGTCTGACCTAAGGGATTCTTTTGTCTGTAAAGGCTAGTGAATTCCTCTTTTGGCAGCCGTCTCTTTTGTGTGGAAGTTTTGGAAAGATTGGCTTGCCATCTTTCTCTTCTTCCTCAAGAGAAAACCATATATTTCATCAATGAGTTTTTCTAATTGATTTCTTTTTGAAAAACTGCTTTTGAAATATGAATCTGCATCTAGCTATTTAAATCATTCTCTCATTTAGATCTAGGTCAAATTCAAGACTGATTTCTTCAAGAGTATGGTTTCTTGAAGAAATTGGTCATTCTCCATTGAATCCAAATTTTGGTTTCGGTCTAAGATGGAGCTTGTAAGCTAGTGCCATGGGATGAACGAGCTGAAGTAGGAGCTGCCATTGCCATGATGAACTGAGCTTCAAGCTTTGCTAAGTTGGAGAAGAAGATTGCACAAAGGAGGTATATCTCATCTTCCTAAATAGATCTAAGTTTTGCTTGAGCTTGCTTGTATTCCTTTGTAAGAATCTTTTTCTACTTAGTGGATTGCCTAGTCCGTTGATGACTCCCAGTTTTTCCCAATGGTGGGTTTCTGGGTAAACAAAATCTGTTTTGCATATATGTAAATTTTTCTAGGTTTGTGTTCTTGGTGGTTGACTAGTCATCTATATCTGCTGTTTGTTGTTTACTTGATATTGATGACTTCACACACTTTCACCATAGTTGTTGCTAGCACAGGGGATGCCTAGATTGACGGGTCCTTCTGAGTGCCTAAGTTGTCACTAGTAATCTTCTAGGGCTGCAGGTACCTTGTGGCATGCTCTGTGTGTTCTCTTGATTGTTGTGTTGTTGTGTCTTGTTTGTTTAGTTAAATTTACCCCTCTTCACCTAAGTACCATTTTCACATATGATGCATAAACTTTTAAAAGAGAGTAAATGATAATGGGTCCATGACTAAAAAAATATTGAAATAATAACGTTAAGCTTTTTTATATGTTATTTTTGACATATCTCTTTCAGTCTTCAAATCCATGTAGAATTTGATTACTCGGTTGAAGCAACTTTAACCTTTAATTTTTTTCGTTTCATGTCCATGTGACAATTTGACATATCGGTTGCAGATGATTTTAGATGTTTTTTGTAGGCTACTGGATTCCCTTATTGGCACTAGTTTTGCAAGTTTAATTTACTCTGAGTTTGTATTTATTTCTGGTTTCTGGTGAACTGGATTTAGTGTTAATTTTGGCTCAATATGATTCTGGTCTACATGTGTATTGTTGTTGTTTTTATCTTGGTTGGATCCGTCCTTGTTTAGAGGGTTGTAATGACTTCAATTCTCTGTAATTGGCCTTGTTTATGAATGAACTACTCTTCTCGTTCAAAAAAAAAAGAAAGAAAAAAAAGACTAATATAAACTGAAATTTTACGTAAACAAAGAACTATATCACTATTCAACATAGCTTTTTAAAATAAAATAAAAAAACTTTTTACAATAAATTCAAAACAAAATTGTACCGCAATGAGAAGATGAGTTAATTGTACATATCAGCCTGACTTAACTCAACCCTAATTTATGAGTTGAACAAAAAATGGGGTACAAAATTTGATAATTACAACGAAACAAGCGGCGGCTACATTTAAAATATGTAGACCACGAGCTAGCCTTTAAGCTTAGGATGAGTATGTTTATTAATACATGTGCAGATATGCAATTATACACACAAACTCAATTACTTCACTTACTGCGTGTAAGTAAACATTTGGGCTGAGGCAAGTGCTACTCATAACTTAAGGATATCATTTGGTAAGCACAGGAAAAGCAGATCCTGCAAAGGATGCTCTCTTCACAAACCTCCCTTTCATTCTTGGCCTCTTCTCAGCGTTCAGCTTCCGCACTTCGTACCTTATTTTCTTGGAGAACAGCCTCGTCCTCCTCTTTTCTCTGTACCTTGACACCCTCGCCTCTCTCCCTCCGTCCGCCATTGCCGGCTGTACCCCTAGCCCGTTCAGATCTCCGTATGGGTAATGAAGTTCAGTTGCACATACACCCTGCACATAATTAATTCTATGTTGAATTGCTATAAACGAGACTGAATTGGGCCTAATTAACTAGCTAAGAGTACCCTCATATGGTTAATTATATCAACATAATTGGCATTTCCACAATTTTTATTTAAAGATTAGGGCAGGAAGTACATACCATGCAGTCAGGCAAGCATTCGGAGTTCAAATCGGGGCGACCACCGGAGGTCCACGGAGAGCCATCCCAGGCTGTAATCACTGCCTCGTAGTCCAGCCTCAAAAATATCTCCTTCTTCTTGCGGCTTTTACTTGCACCCGCATGCACCTCCTCATGTCGTTGATGATCTCCACTGTAAGTAGTATCCATCATTCCCACTCCCAGTTTGTCATCCTGTTCGCCGCACGACTGCGGCGAGTCGTCATAGTCTTCAAAGTTCAACACAAACGGCTCTCTCATCATATCAATCTCCGGCGTCTCACCTAATTCACACCCCATAAAATTGACACCTCCCGTGCCCCCTTCCTCCTCCTCCTCCTCGTCTTCAAGCTTTACTCTACAATTCGATTCATTTTCTTTAGAATCCATTAACCCCAATCCTTCCATCCCAAAACACTCGTCATCTTCGAGCCCCCTGCCCAACAAACTATCCACGTCCGCCGCGAAATCAGCAAGATCCATGTCACTGGGAAGCAGAAACCCATCATGACCGTTATGATTATAATTAGGTGATGATGAGCTCACTTTAGAAACATCACCAGTATTAGCTAATTCGTAATTAGCAACTGCTTCTTCATTAGAATTAGCAGAAGTGGTAGCAGTGCACATCTCCGCAACAAAGGGATCGAATACGGGAACCCTATAAAGAAGCTGCTGCTGATCTTCTTCGTTTTCCTCGTCATACGAGTTGCTATCGTCTGCCCCGATTTCCGGCACCTGAGGAAACCGGTTTCGGGCACCTTCTTGGGATTTGTGCTTCCCCTGTCTCGGCGTCCGGGCCTTCCGCGTGAAGCCACCGTGCCACGACGGTGCTGCTGGGTTGTCCGAAACAGAAACTTGATCATCCTTATCGGTGGGTTTGAGCGACGACGCCGTTTTCAAGAGAATCCTTTCGTGTCTGCGAGCTAACTGGTTGGCGGAGTGTACGGAGGAGTCACAGGCTTGGCAGAGAAAAGCATCGTCGGCAGCACAGTACCAGCGAGCTCTCTTTCTTATGCAGCTGTCGCACGCTCTTGCCGTTTTGGCACCGACGGCGTTTGCCACTTTCTTGTTGGAGCTCATCGCGGAAAATCAAATCACAACGAAGTTTTGAAAAGTTGAAAGAGTGAAGTGAAATCAAAGAAGAGAAAGATAGAGCAAATCCAAAGAGTGCACAGGAACTGTTTGTTGAATTGTGCTCTTTATTTAGGTAAAGCGCTAGAGGAAGTGGTGAGTGTCCCACACCCTGCGCTTTTACAGGCCATATAACAGCGAAGGCAGCTCTTGGATTTGCACTTTTGGGAGAGAGAGAGAGAGAGAGAGAGAGAGAGGATTGTACTTTTGGGCCCACACCAATGCCTTATCTATTTTCTAATTGGGCGAGCTTAAAAAGTTGATCCAAATCCTTGGCTTCTGATTGGCTACTTTTCCCCATCGATGGATTTCTCGTTTCTTAGTGCACATGGGGCCCAGGCAAGGAGGGTAATGGATGAGAAGTCCTGTTGATTCCATCTCTCACTTTCTAATTTGAAAGATATGCTTTTGTTGGATTGCCTCAGTCCCCCTGCCCCATTTTCTCCATCACTAATATTTACTTGTTTAAACTTCCGGACTCTTACCTTGACTCCATGCACTGCGGTCCCCACATAATCCACATGTCCCCAATCATATCTTTCCACATAACGTAAAGATCATCTTCTATCGTATTATATATATGATATACATAACTTGACATTCTGTGTGCTCATTTTGATTAGAAACTATTTGTCTTTGCTGTATCTGATTACAACATGCACTCTAATAAATTAAGAATCTAAGAAGGATAAATAGTCATGACTCAGAAGTCACTCTTGAATATTAATAGAAAGAGACCGTTTGAATTAAGAAGATGAACTAACAAAATTATATGGAATAAAATTATTATAATTGGTTTACATTTGAACATCTCGTCGCTAGCTAGAAAGAAAGAAAAACATATATGTATGGATAAAGCTGATGTGGGGATCTCATCTCATCTGCGACAATGAAACCCAAGCACAAGATTACCGCAAAGAGTCGTCATGAGACCCCAATTTTCTTGAAGTAATATCGACATATTATTCCTTGGTTACTTGGAAAAGGATTTATATTTCTGTAGCTATCCATCTGTAGGGCCTGTAGCCCCATCCCTCTCTCTCTCTGTCTCTCTCTAAGATAATTTTAGAATCTCACTCACTTATGTATATTTGTCCACTACTATACACACCATGTATATATATATATATGGGATAAGGTTTGGTAATTATGATAAGTTTTACACAGTTTGCCGACGTTTCTTCTTTCTACTTTTCCCTTATGATATGGGCCGATATTACATAATAAGGTTGCAAAAAAATAAAATATTTGAGAAAAGAGTTGCATTCTAAAGAACTTTCTGAAAATTGTTGCATTAACTTAAGAAAAACTAATATATGATATGATCGATGCGACAATAATGTACCAATTGATTGATGAGTTCGTAGTTGATGCTGTAAAAAGAGAAAGAAAAAAACAAAAGCATGTGGTAGCGGAACGTGACAATTATGATTATGTAAGAAATGCAACAATGATAAGTAAGATAATGAAATTAAAGAAGTAAAAACTGAAAGATTAATAAATATCAGCTCAAAAAATCTTAAAAAATATATCTGACGAGAAAGAAAAAATAAAAAAAATAATGGTAATCTCAGACTACGTCCCATAGCGATTTTTGAAGCCCGTGAAGAAATTATGTACTGGGCCCCGGCCCATTACATTTTTTAGTTTCGTTGTTTGGGCCAGAAGGCCCACAATGAGTGAAACCGGAGAACGTTAGCCTGAAGCAGCAACAAGGGTAATTTCGTCAATAAGAAATCCGATCGCCTTGTTGGCTGGCTGTAGGGTTGTCTATTCTGCTGAGCTGCTGAGGCAAGCACTGTTCCCGTCGAAGATCAGAGACTGGCGCGCAGTCTAAAGGGTCCTTCTTTGGGTAAGTTTTTACTTGAGACGTCGTCGTGCTCCGATTATTTGGTGGAAGCTTACAACTTGCTTCAACTGCATATATATGTTATCGTTGACATTTACTTCTTTTTGCTTGAAATTATGAGCAGGGCTGAATTGCACTTATTCAAACTTTAACATAAGAATTATATTGTTTTAATTTACTTTTCTGTAATTAATAAATTTGATTATGGAATTGCAAAGTGCAAATAAGCAAAGCATGTTTCCAGCTTGCCAATGATTTAGTGTAAGATCAAAGTTTTGTACTTTTAAGAGATTTGAATGCAGCCGTGTAGTTGATGTTAATCCAAAATATCAAACATCAAGCCCCATGATGCGATATAAGGCGTAGTGAGTTATTGTGCAGCGTGAATAGGCAAATATAGGACGAAGAAGAACTTCCGTTACAGTTTTTTGGTGCCGCATCTATTTCATATTTGTTTGTTTGCCCGAAAGAGGACGGGTTGTTTGAGAACTTGAGAGGGCTTTATGGTTTTCATCTTTAGTCATGAAGGTGGTTCCATAGGTTTCCATAGATTTGACTCAGTTGATTAGTCGTAAAACTTTTCAGGTAGCATCCAGCAAAATAGGATTGTTTTCTTTTATCATTTTGCTCTTATTTTCCACCAGGTTATCTAGTTCTTTTTTGTGTTCTAGATTTAACTTCATTAATAGATTTTGTTAGCCTTAGTTGGCGTTGACTATTTCGGTGATGTTGGTTGCAACTTGCAAGATCAATTCAGATGACTGCGCCCCTAATATAACAAAGTTAAAGAAACAATAGAGATGATTAAATATTATTCTCTTCTTTTATGTTTAGATTAGTGCTTAGGTTACTTTGAAGAGACAAATTGAGATTGGCATCTGAGGTTTGTGTTTCTTTTAGAAAGAAAGAGATAGGGCTTCATAATTTGATTTCGTTTACACATAGAAAGAGATTGGAATTCATAATTTGAGGTCATTTAGTTGAGTACTTTTAATTACAAAATTTTGGGATCACATTGAGTTCACATGTTTGAGAGTTGTTAACTATTAAAGTCTTGATCCCTGATCTGATGAAAATGGAAGATATTGTAACATTCCATGCATCTCAAATGGTGTTCTTGAAGCAATCGAGGAAGCATGGAATCCACAGAGATGCAAGATGTTTCGTATATTTCCCTTCATTGTTTTGTTTGGGCAGCTCTGTTCCTTGAACAGTTCGACGAAGGATGATATTTTATCTTCTTTCTTAATTTATGTCTCGCTTGGTCGTACCAAAATAGTGTGATGATGGTATCACTACTGCAGGATCTCTGTAATGTCCGGGAGAAATCGTATGTCTCGCCATGCTGATGGTTATCGAGGTTACCATGATGATCCTCGACCTCTCATGAACCGAGGACTGGGACACTTGAGTGTACACCCTGCAGCTTTGGAAGAAGAACTTGCAATGAAACACAGAGAAATGCAGCGAATCATTGCTGAGAACCGGCTTGTAATTGACGACAATACCCTTCTTCAAAGGGAATTGACAGATGCGAAAGATGAGATTCATAGATTGGGGCAGGTCTTACCTAAACTCCGGGCTGAGAAAGAGGCACAGTCTAGGGAGCTAATTGAGAGAGGATTGAAGCTAGAAGCTGATCTCCGTGCTACTGAACCTATAAAGGCAGAGGTTATGCAATTAAGAGCTGAAGTTCAGAAATTAACTGCTTTGCGGCAAGAGTTGTCTTCCCAAGTCCAAGGTCTGACACAGGAGATAACTCGATTGCAAGCTGAGAATCAGCAGCTAATTCCCATGAGGGCTGATATTGATGGGATGCGAAACGAGCTTGTTGAGACCAGGTTTTTTACAGTGAACTTTTAATTAGTTTTCTGGCGTAATAATATCTTGCTCTTCTTTTGCCTTTTAAGGAGATGGATGACACATATTAGGACGATACTTGATGAATTTCAGATACGTTAACAACTGCTTTATTTGTATGCATATGTGGATTGACTTTGCAACACTTTTTTTTAGGAGAGCTTATGAATATGAGAGGAAAGCCAGTGAAGAACAAGTGGAACAAAAGCAAGCAATGGAAAATAACCTAGTTTCCATGGCTCGTGAAATAGAGAAGCTAAGAGCAGAGCAGCTAAATGCAGACAGGAGGGCACGAGAACGAGGTGATTCTTCTCTCTCTTTATGTCTCGCGTGCGCGCATACGCACACACACAACTTTAGTGCTCATGGATCTCCTACTCTGGGATTTTTAACTTGGATCTCTAGAAGGCAAGTTGTTTTGACTCCTTTCTTATCTGTATAGGTGGTGGGGGTTATGGAATGATGAATGGAAGTCCTGATATGAGATATTCACGTGGTTCATATGGCAATGGCTACAGCAGTGGTTGGGGACCTTATGATAAGCGTGGTTCACGGCGTTAAGTATCATCAAATATTGAATGGTCGGGGGAACTGGTTTGCATATCTCGGTTCACTGGTTTGCATATCTCGGTTCTAGTCCTGCTTATAGAGTAAAAAGAACTCTTAAGGTCACAGTCACAGAAATGAATCAATGTTAAACCTTGTAAATTTTTTTAACATTGATCAATTATATTGTGTCTACAGTGATGAGGCTTTGAGCAACATGTTCCATAATTTATCCGCAAATTGATTTTTTTTTTTCATTCTAATTTTCATTTTGATAATTGTAGTTAACATAATAAAGTGGAACAGAATAACCAAAGTTAGTCATTTTATACCGTTATATCAAAGTGCTAGCAATATTTACCATTCTCCGTTGGATAATATAAAACTCTCAGACACGATCAATAATAAATTCCGCATTTCTTTCAAAAGAAGATTTTCGTGTAATAATTTTCATTTGCTAATAGAAGGCAATTTCTTAAACCAATAGCTTCTAACACCAAACCAAAAGAATTTATGTAACCAAATCAATGTCGGTTAACCTAAAAATTCCTAAATATAGCCGTCACTGTTACTTGATCAGCACGAATTTCCTTTTAGAGCCTTAGAAATGACTTGAACGGTGGAAGGTGTTGTCCGACAACAGCCTCCGATGAGCTTAGCTCCTGCGTCACGCCAGCTTGTTGCAAAGCATTCAAAATTGTCGTCATCAAAACACTTGGCAGGCTGTTCATTTAACACAATCCAAAATTCATTAGTTGATCACGCATCGTATTTTGTGTTTGTGTGGATTCAGCGTATGAGAAAGAGAGAAGACAGACAGAGAGAGGTTCTAAAACCAGTTGAACTCACCAGCCATCTTTTAGCTTTGCCATC